GATCCTTATCTAGCTCCTAGCAGGTGCTAACCATTCATTGAGGAGATTCCTATGCATACCCATGATTAGCAATAAATCTGTTTAATTGGACCTTCCCATGTGTCCCGCCTGACAACAATGCTGTGAAGAACAACCCTATACAAAAAAAATGAAGTCACATCCTTTCAGCTACTCCCAGGTGAGGCCATACTGCTCCTCCAAAGCAAGCGAACAAAAACATTAACATAAATTAAAAAGAAAAGGATGGGAGTTGAACACAGTAATGGAAGGAAATGAGAGATTTATCAATTTTATAGTGGGTAAATTGCAATTAGATCCAATATCTTCTGACCACAATAGATATAGTGCACTGTTCTGCTGTTGAAATATTTTGCAATTAAGAGGATTTATCAGTTCTACTGTCCGGGGATGACATATTGGGCAAACCCTTGAATAGGACTGATTGTTTTAATGTTAATATCAGAGCACTCAAATGGAATAGAGTGTTTTGTTCTTTTAATGCAACTACAGAAGGAAAGGAAAATATCTCCTGAATTAAAATACAATTTACTGTCAGATCAGATAAATAGGACTACAACCATGGTTGTTTTTCAACATTAATGCAATTAAAGAAGCGGGGAAGCCATATATAGCCCTACCAATGTTGGAACGTGCCCTCCATCCTTGCCCAGCTAGCTTAAATGGAATATGTGTGTGTGTACATTGTGTGTTTGTGTACTGTGTGTTTCTCCTTTACTTATAAAGGGTTTGGTTAGAAAAACCCATACACAGTAAAAGATGCCACTGCTCATTATTTTTTTTAAAAAAAGCTGAATCTAAAATCAAACAAAAAAGTTACTTCTCTCTATGAATAAAAAAAAAAAAATCAGGCAGGAATTGTATGGTCTTTTCCAAGCAAAAAAGCTGAACAGAATTCAGAAAGATTTTCTTTGCCTGCAGCACTTAAGACTGCACTCTCAGCAACTGATTCAAATATAGCAAGGATGCTTGGTAAGATGTATGTGATACCAAACTGCAGATCTAGCTGAAGAGACAAAACGGAATGTCTTTAATATATGAATGTGTGTGGGGTTTTTTTTTCTGACAGAAGCAATGAATAAGTTAGGGCTAACTCAAACCCAAGCAGTGAAAATACTCTCCCTTTTCCACACCATTATAAAGTGAGTAATGGGCAACTTAAAAAAAAAAATACTGAGGCTGTTGTATCCCTACAATCAGATGCTCCAGTGAGCACATACGCATAATGGAACATTTACAGAGAGAGACAAATCACATGAGAAATACTCTATAGATTCTAAGGCAATCTACAAAGAAGGGTTATCTCATAGGACCTGATAACATTTAAATGAAGCCCAGGGGAGGGAAATACATTCATAACTACTGCATTTTCTCTTCCCTTTTAATACCCGCCTAGGATTTTCTTGGATTCCTAGGTCAATTCTGTAAACCAAACTGGAACATTAAAAAAAAAAAAGACTTTATACCATATTAGACTGGGACCTAGTTCATACATTGCGATAAACACCTTTAAGCAATGTGTTGTGTTTAAAGGTATGTATTTGCAAACCCAGCCATTCTGGCATATGTAGTTTTGTGGCTAAATGTGTGGTGTACAGCCAACCAAAAGTGCTTCATTCAATGAACTGTGGTCAAGCAAACCATGCCTTGGCACAACATATGAACTAGTTCAGGGGTAGGCAAGCTTGGCTCTTTTATGACTCGTGGACTTCAACTCCCAGAATTCCTGAGCCAGCCATGCTGAGGGGAAAGGGAGAGGTTTCCAAGCTGAGCCATGCTGGCTCAGGAATTCTGGGAGTTGAAGTCCACGAGTCATAAAAGAGCCAAGGTTGCCTACCCCTGTCCTAAGTCCTCCTGTTCTAAGCGGTGAGCCTCCTAGGCCAGGGGTAGGCAACCTTGGCTCTTTTATGACTCGTGGACTTCAACTCCCAGAATTCCTGAGCCAGCCANGATCCTTATCTAGCTCCTAGCAGGTGCTAACCATTCATTGAGGAGATTCCTATGCATACCCATGATTAGCAATAAATCTGTTTAATTGGACCTTCCCATGTGTCCCGCCTGACAACAATGCTGTGAAGAACAACCCTATACAAAAAAAATGAAGTCACATCCTTTCAGCTACTCCCAGGTGAGGCCATACTGCTCCTCCCAAGCAAGCGAACAAAAACATTAACATAAATTAAAAAGAAAAGGATGGGAGTTGAACACAGTAATGGAAGGAAATGAGAGATTTATCAATTTTATAGTGGGTAAATTGCAATTAGATCCAATAGCTTCTGACCACACTAGATATAGTGCACTGTTCTGCTGTTGAAATATTTTGCAATTAAGAGGATTTATCAGTTCTACTCTCCGGGGATGACAGATTGGGCAAACCCTTGAATAGGACTGATTGTTTTAATGTTAATATCAGAGCACTCAAATGGAATAGAGTGTTTTGTTCTTTTACGCAACTACAGAAGGAAAGGAAAATATCTCCTGAATTAAAATACAATTTACTGTCAGATCAGATAAATGGGACTACAACCATGGTTGTTTTTCAACATTAATGCAATTAAAGAAGCGGGGAAGCCATATATAACCCTACCAATGTTGGAACGTGCCCTCCATCCTTGCCCAGCTAGCTTAAATGGAATATGTGTGTGTGTACATTGTGTGTTTGTGTACTGTGTGTATCTCCTTTACTTATAAAGCACTTTGGGTTTGGTTAGAAAAACCCATACACAGTAAAAGATGCCACTGCTCATTTTTCTTTTAAAAAAGCTGAATCTAAAATCAAACAAAAAAGTTACTTCTCTCTATGAATAAAAAAAAAAAAAATCAGGCAGGAATTGTATGGTCTTTTCCAAGCAAAAAAGCTGAACAGAATTCAGAAAGATTTTCTTTGCCTGCAGCACTTAAGACTGCACTCTCAGCAACTGATTCAAATATAGCAAGGATGCTTGGTAAGATGTATGTGATACCAAACTGCAGATCTAGCTGAAGAGACAAAACGGAATGTCTTTAATATATGAATGTGTGTGGGGGTTTTTTTTCTGACAGAAGCAATGAATAAGTTAGGGCTAACTCAAACCCAAGCAGTGAAAATACTCTCCCTTTTCCACACCATGATAAAGTGAGTAATGGGCAACTTAAAAAAAAAAATACTGAGGCTGTTGTATCCCTACAATCAGATGCTCCAGTGAGCACATACGCATAATGGAACATTTACAGAGAGAGACAAATCACATGAGAAATACTCTATAGATTCTAAGGCAATCTACAAAGAAGGGTTATCTCATAGGACCTGATAACATTTAAATGAAGCCCAGGGGAGGGAAATACATTCATAACTACTGCACTTTCTCTTCCCTTTTAATATCTGCCTAGGATTTTCTTGGATTCCTAGACCAATTCTGTAAACCAAACTGGAACATTAAAAAAAAAAAAAGACTTTATACCATATTAGACTGGGACCTAGTTCATACATTGCGATAAACACCTTTAAGCAATGTGTTGTGTTTAAAGGTATGTATTTGCAAACCCAGCCATTCTGGCTTATATAGTTTTGTGGCTAAATGTGTGTTGTACAGCCAACCAAAAGTGCTTTATTCAATGAACTGTGGTCAAGCAAACCATGCCTTGGCACAACATATTGAACTAGTTCAGGGGTAGGCAACCTTGGCCCTTTTATGACTCGTGGACTTCAACTCCCAGAATTCCTGAGCCGGCCATGCTGAGGGGAAAGGGAGAGGTTTCCAAGCTGAGCCATGCTGGCTCAGGAATTCTGGGAGTTGAAGTCCACATGTCATAAAAGAGCCAAGGTTGCCTACCCCTGAACTAGTTCAATATGGTCCCTCAAAACAAAGGTTCTTGGAAGAGCTAATTAAATATCCCCAAACTAGCCCCAATCCTATTGCCAACTCTCTATGGGGAGCTCTCCCAGGGGGAAAAAAAATTGTACTCACAGGAGGAATGTCCACTAGGGAAGCTCTTGCGCCCTTCAATCACGACTTGTGCATCTCCTGTGCACAAGAACTGATGGGTTGCCCGTCCATCTGGAAAGCAGCGGTAGAAGAAATCCGGCCGAGGCCTAGAGGAAGAGAGAAGACGTCAAAGCTGACATATACTTTATCCCCCACCTTGAACTCCCCCTGTGAAGGGGACAGTTGACCAAAGAGAAGTGTAGGTCAAGGTGGACAAGAAGAGCTGAGGCAAAAGAGCCAGCCCGAATCTCCAACTCTTGCTGCGACAGCTGGAGACTCAATTGTGATGTCTGCAAATATCTTGCTCCACTCCAATGGCTTCCTACTCAACCCACTTTTATATTCTGAGATTTTCTCTCTCTTGAGAGCTTGAGCTGGCGTAGACATGACTCTCCCCAAATATAATCCTTCACAATAAATTAGTAAGAGGGGACGACTGACTTAAGGTCTCACAGTGAGGTCTATGGATGGTCCAACATCTTAACCAGAGAATTGGTAGCTATCAAGACCGCAAAAACAGGTCAGCCAAATACTCCTGTACTCTCCGCTTGGACTAATGGTTGCTGGCCTCCTAAAGGACAAGGACTCCATGACATCCCTTCCTCTGTGTGGAAGAAGGGAAATATTTTCTCTACCAGCGGCCCTTTTTTTTAAGCGTGAAGGAAGTGGGTGGGAATAGGGTTTAGGGCAGTGGTGGCGAACCTATGGCACGGGTGCCAGAGGCGGCACTCAAGAGCCCTCTCTGTGGGCACACGCGCCGTCGCCCCAGTCCTAGGCCTTCAGCTGGGTTTTATAAAACCTTTTCGCTTTAGGCCTCTGCCGCCGTGTGCAAAAAAAAAGGTTCAATCAGTCAATTTCAACTTCTCGCGGGGAAAAAAAAAGATCTTGCAAAGTTGGAATTGATTGATTGAACTTTTTAGTCCCACCCAGTCTGCCGTTACCACCGCAGCCACGCCCACCCAATGGGCCACACCCTCCCAATGGGCCATGCCCACCCGGCACCCGACAATGCATAAGTGGGTTTTGGGTTGCAGTTTGGGCACTCGGTCTCTAAAAGGTTTGCCATCACACGGCGAGGAGAGGAGAGAAGGTAACCTCATGGGCTAGATAGGAAAGCTCCATAGCTGTAGGTATCCACTGTTACCTTAGCTTGGGTCACAGAAAGGAAAAATTAAGGAGCGATGGAGCGAAGAATGCTGCTTCTGATCCGAGATGGGATGGAGAGGCCAAGGGAAGTGAAATGATACTTTTCAACATACTCGTTGGATGGCCCTTTCGAAAAGAAATGCAAGGGACTATTTCTGCTGCTTCTTACCTAACATTAACAGGAAGGGTTCAAACACTGAATAGTTAACTCTTTTGCACTGCAGCCTGGCTTCTTCCACTTCGTCTCTGGCCCTCTCCCTTTCTCAGAAGGTCAACCCTGCCTAGTAGCAGTCAGAGGGGGAAATGGCAGCTCTTTCTCTAGAAATACCAGAAGAGAACCTTACCTGCCCACGGCCAGCTTCACAGCATTGGTGAAGATACCATTCAGGCCAAAGGCCAGGCTAACAGCTGCACCAAAGAAAAACAAAAGAAAGCAATTCCAGATTAGATCCCAGTGATGGACAAGGGGAAGAGCTGGACAGAGATGCAAGTATGAGCATCTTTAAAGCAATCTGGCTCAATGGGTCTCAACAGTCCATTTGTTTTGTCCAAATTTGTGGTTACCATGAATTAGCTGCTTGGCATGTCCTACCAGCAGGTATGGTAAGACAACTGTGCAATCACACTTTTTACTGAAACTTTCTTTCTTTCTTTTTCTTTCTTTCCTTTTTCTTTCCTTCTCTTTCTTTCCTTCTTTCTCTTTCTTTTAATTCTTTCTTTCCTTCCTTCTCTTTCTTTCTTTCCTTCTCTTTCTCTCTCTTTCTTTTCTTCTTTTTTCTTTCCTTTTTTTTCTTTCTTTCCTTTCTTTTTCTTTTATTTCTTTCCTTCCTTCTCTTTCTCTCTTTCCTTCCTTCTCTTTCCTTCCTTCTCTTTCTTTCTTTCTTTCTTTCTTTCTTTCTTTCTTTCTTTCTTTCTTTCTTTCTTTCCCATCTCCCTCAAAGAGGGATGGATGCAGATGGAATCCTGGTTTCTTGTTCCCAACATTAAGGTGACCACAAACTTCTCATCTCTTCCCTACTAGGCAGAGAGGACTCATTTGGCATGATGAACTTGCTGCCTTATTCAGCAATTTCATGCAACCCCCAATTTTCTGCAAAGGTTCTCCCCCCGGTGCTCACCTAAGCATGCTTCCCTGGTATCTTCTTTACCAGCCTTCATGAAGAATTTGGCCAGGAAAATCAAGACCAAAGGAGACACAAAGGAAATGAACTGCAACAAGAGGATCAAGATTCAAATCAGTGCTACGCTCATGAAAGCAAAACGAAGCTACAGAAAGGATTAAAAAAAAAGATGTTGGGGATTGCTTCTTAGCTTTAAAACGGGATTGTACTACCTTTTACAGAGCAGAGGCTAGATTTAGCTCTTTGGATGCCTGCTGGAGATTATGCTAAAATAGCAGTGTTCAGAAAAATGGGTATTTCTGCCCAAAAAAAAATGAGAGCAAGCAATGTGCATAGGTCTTCATTTGGACCAGTGTTTTTCAATCTTGGCAACTTTAAGATGTATGGATTACATCTCCCAGAATTCAAACAATTCTGGGAGCTGAAGTCCAGCTATGTTAAAGCTGTCAAGTTGAAAAACAACAATTTAGACTTACGACGCCCAGATGGACAAAAATAAACCATGCCCAAAACACGTAACATGTGTTGGAAATTTTTAGCCTCCCCCACAAACTTTGGTGAGGTCATTTATACCAGGAGTGTCAAACTGCTGGCCTGTGGGCCGGTTGCATCATGCGAAGGCCGCACCCACCCCAGCCCCGGCAACGCAAAAAAGTTGCAATACGTCACGTGACGTGGTGAATTTGACACCCGTGATTTATACCATTCAGTTTTCCCTTATTCTGTCCAGAGAATTGTTGCTGTTTTTCTTTACGGTCTGCTTCTGCCTGACCGGCCATTGTTTATCCTTTTGCTAGAAACAGAAATGCTTCTGAAAGGGGTTAAAAATCACCTCTCTTGCTCTGAAACAGCAAAGATTTGACCATCTGGAAGCGTGCAGCCACATGTTCTGAAGCAGACAGTGGCAGTCCTTTCAAAGCCATGGAATAGAGGTTTTTAACCGTATCAAAGAAGATTCTATCTTAATATCGTGGTGTCCCGTAATGTGGACCGGGCAGCTCCAGTATCCACAAACAAATTTCTAACAGTAAAGACTGTTTCACAATGGGAAAAATCAACAAGGACACTGGCAAGTATCCCTTTTGCAGAGTCTCTTCAAACAGAGGCTAAGTCTGCCATCTGCATGGGGTGCTTTAATTTGGGTTCATTGCCCCTGAGCAAAGTTCTGGGCTTAATCTAAGCAAAGGAATACGCATGCAATAAAAGTTGAAGGGAGAGTGGACAAAACACTTACAAACATAGATTTGGTGGGCACGTGGTCCGACTCTATGTAGGGGTTTTTGTAGAGCCACATTTCTTCAGGCTGTATGACCCGTTGGAAAGGGGGCAGCACTTCAGTGACCCTTAAAGAAAGTAGGATCGGGAAATCTTTGGTTCCGCAAGGATGACGGGCTGCTTTCCGTAGCAATTGACAGGATCGCCTTGCCATTTCTGTTACATGTGATCCCACATCCTTGGTACATGGATGCAATATAGTACCCTTTCCCCCTGGGTTTGTAAACATACGTTTGTCTAGCCCTGGGCTGTAAGAAACTATCATTCTAATTCTATGCAATACAGCACAGCCTGCCATCCCTGTTTGTTGTTAATTGCGAAGTCGTGTCCGACCCATCACAACCCCATGGACAACGTTCCTCCAGGTCTTCCTGTCCTCTACCATCTTCTAAAGTCCATTTAAGCTCACGCCTCCTGCTTCAGTGACTCCATCCAGCCACCTCATTCTCTGTCATTCTCTGCCATCCCTGTTTAGCTACCTTTAAACCTTAACCCACCTCCCCCAGGGCAAAAATAAAAGACTCACAATAATCAAGTTTATAATCCAAAAGACAGCATGCAAAGGAAAAGGGAGAATGGCGGTTCTTATGACCAGGCGGAATAAACCACAATTGATCTCTCCCTCTCCCTGTTCAAATCCAACTGGGTCTCTTTGAGATATGCCTATATATAGAAATGGCCAGGTGGGTATGGGCTGTCTTTGATGGAGATTGGATTTTTTCTTCCAGGCATTTGCAACCCAGGCACTTCCTGAAGGTCTTCGGCCTATCCAACCATCGCTCTCGACTGTACGTCCCTGCAAAACACCATATGCTACCTAGTTCTAAGGGCCACAACCCTCCGCTGGTGGGAATTCTGAAACTGAAGGGCCTTAACATCTGGTGGGCTTTGGGCCAGAAGCTTCCCCCACCGGTCCTCCTCTCCTTCGCTCCCCCCCCACCCCCCCTTGCAGGCTCTGAAAGAACAAGCCAGCATCTATCACCCAGCCTACTACGTATCTTCCCCGGGATGCCCAGCCTGACGCACAAGCGCAAGATGCCACCCAACACTGCAAGGTGCGTCTTTTCTTTTGGGCAGTGTTTCTCAACCTTGCACCATTTTAAGGCAGGTGGACTTCAACTCCCAGAATTCCACAGCCAGCATTGGAATTCCACAGCCAGCTGTGGAATTCTGGGAGTTGAAGTCAAGATTGAGAAACGCTGCGTTTCGAGGGCCTTCAGCCCACAGAGAGGACATTGCAACCCGGCTCAGGCCAATTCCTAGCAACGCCGGCGGAAAAGCCACGGAACTTCTTTGCAAAGAAGGTGGGTGTAAAGGAGGGGGGGGGGTAAAGGGAGAGGCCGAAGGCTGCCCACACCGGCGTTCCGGCTAAGGCGGTGGGAACGGGAAGCGCGCCCAAGAAGAGGAAGAGAAACGCCCCTTCCCCTTTTCTCCTCCGGACCTCGCGACCCACCCCACCCCACTCCCTCCCACTCCTCGGCACTCACCAGAAGAGACCCAGCAGCAACGCGCGCACCCCGACTTCCAGCAGCAGGGCCAGCCCCGCCCGCGGGACCGGCCACATCCTTGGCTCAAGGCTGCGGCGGCGAGCCACGCGGCGGCGCGCGCGGCCTCTCGCTCGCGTCCCGGGGAGGAAAGAAGGGCGGAGCCTCGGTCGCCTTTTCTCTCCGCCCTTCCCTCTCTTCCACCCCCCCCACCCCCAACCCCACCCCACACCCCACCCCACTTCCAGGGGCGGGCAAGCGGAGTCGGAGCGAAGTGAGTCACGCGTTGCCGGTTGAAGTGGGAGAGGCAGGGCGCAGGAGGCGCTCTTGGTGCGCTTCCTTGCATTCGAACCAGTGTTTCTCCACCTTGACCATTTTAAGGCACGTGGACGTTTCTTTTTTGCTTGTTTTCCTGCTTACATGCTAATGAAGAGCAGTCTTCACAGAAGGTCCTTTTTTGCGTCAATGCTTCAACTTGAGCTTTAAAGTAATCTAATAATAATAATAATAATAATAATAATAATAATAATAATAATAATAATAATAATAATAATAATAATAATAATAATAATAATAATGTTGGAAGGGACCTTGAAGGTCATCGAGTCCAACCCCCTGCCCAGGCAGGAAACCCTATACCATTTCGGACAAATGGCTGTCCAGTCTCTTCTTAAAAACTTCCAGTGTTGGAGCATTCACCGCTTCTGGAGGCAGGTTGTTCCACTGGTTAATTGTTTTCACTGTCAGGAAGTTTCTCCTTAGTTCTAGATTGCTTCTCTCCTTGATTAGTTTCCACCCGTTGCTTCTCGGCCTGCCTTCAGGCGCTTTGGAGAATAGCTTGACTCCCTCTTCTTTATGGCAACCCCTGAGATATTGGAAGGCTGCTATCATGTCCCCCCTCGTCCTTCTCTTCATTAAACTAGACATACCCAATTCCAGCAGCCGTTCCTTATATGCTTTAGCCTCCAGTCCCCTAATCATCTTTGTTGCTCTTCTCTGTACTCTTTCCAAAGTCTCAACATCTAGTCTGCATCGGTGCTCCAAGGGAGGCATCAGAAGCCTGTGGTCGTCGTCATGACGAATTCAGGTGTATTTGATCATCCTTGATCAATAGCTTCAAGATGAACTTGTTCCTGGGGACATACTATATACATTGCAGAAGTCTACTTCAGCTCCAGAAAAAAAACGACCAAAGTGAAAAGTCATCACTCTATAAAAGAACTGCCAAATGTATGATGAACAGCTGTGAAGAACCATACAAAGAAACTTTGGGAAACATAATGTTAAGGAGGCAATGACAAAACCATCAGGCTGTGTAGATCAGTGTTTCTCAACCTTGACCATTTTAAGGCATGTGGGCTTCAACTCCCAGAATTCCACAGCCAGCAATGCTGGCTGTGGAATTCTGGGAGTTGAAGTCCCCATGCCTTAAAATGGTGCAAGGTTGAGAATAGGGTTGCCAGGTCTGCTTCCAAAAAATAGCGGACAAGCGGGGGGGGGGGAGTTGGGTTAAGTAGTAAAAAAAGTAGACTGTACAGCTTTAGATTACGTACCATTTCATCATAAAGCTTTTGAATAAAAAAATGTCCACTATTTTGTGAAAAAAAAATAGTGAACATAATGTGAAAAAAGTGGACTGTCCACTCAAATAGTGGACACCTGTCGAAACATTAACCCGTCTTGGGGAGGGCGGAGGAAGGGGCCCAGAGATCCGGAACTGCAGTCCCAAAGATGCTTTTTCAGGAGGCGACGGGACTTTTTTTTTTTTTTTTTGCTTTCCTTGGAAGACGTTTCGCTTCTCATCCAAGCAGCTTCTTCAGCTCTGACTGGAGGGTGGGGGGGAAATGGAAGGATTGATACTCCTTGCAGACAGCTGTTCGTTTGCATTCTTTTAGCCAGTGGTTAATGCTACCTGGAGGCTTATCTGGTAGCATTAGCCACCAGTGGTGGGATTCAGCCAGTTTGCACACTTTGGTAGAACCGGTAGCTATATTTTTTTAATTGCCCAGGCAGGCCCAGAATGGACTTCTGGAAGCGGCATGCACACAGAGAACCGGTTGTTCACATATTTGAATCCTGCGACTGTTAGCGACTCTCTAAAACACTGATGGCGAACCCTTTTAGAGTCCGAGTGCCCAAACTGCAACCCAAAATCCACTTATGCATTGTCGGGTGTTGGGTGGGTGTGGCCCATTGGCTGGGTGTGGCCAATTGGGTGGGCGTGGCTGCGGTAACAGCAGACTGGGTGGCACTAAAAAGTTCAATCAATCAATTCCAACTTTGCAAGATCTTTTTTTTCCCAAGAGAAGTTGAAATTGACTGATTGAACCTTTTTTCTTTGCACACGGCGGCGGAGGCCTAAAGCGAAAAGGTTTTATAAAACCCAGCTGAAGGCCTAGGACTGGGGCGACGGCACGCATGCCCACAGAGAGGGCTGAGTGCCGCCTCTGGCACCTGTGCCTTAGGTTCGCCACCACTGCTCTAAAAGAATGCAAAAGACCAGCTGTCTGCAAGGAATATAAATCCTTCAAGTGTCGATAAAAGAGGATATTTGTAGCTCAAGGTTGAAATGAGGGCTCCTTGGTGCTCTCTGGGCTTGGTGATTTTCTTGCAGCATTTCATTACTATTTCCTTTCTCATCTTTCCTATTACCTATTTTTTCTTAGTGTCTTATGACAAAAACTTTGTTGTCTGTATCTTAAGATTTATGTTGATTGCTTTTATTTAGGGTCCTATTATGATTTGTGTTGACTGCTTATTTAGTATCCTATGACCATCACAGAGTATTGTGTCTTATGATTTATGGTGATTGTATTTTAGGATTATGATCATGATTTATCACTTGTTGCTTGTATGTACACTGAGAGCTTATGTACCGGAGACAAATTCCTTGTGTGTCCAATCAGGCTTCGCCAATACAAATTCTATTCTATTCTTTACCAAAGTAGGTAACATCATCAGTAGGCCATGAAACATCTGCAAGAAAACCACCAAGCTCAGAGAGCACCAAGGACCCCTCAGAGGCGAGTGTGGACAATGGGCTGAGCCATCCACCTCTGCACCCCCCTCACTGCCACCTAACCAACCAAGATGAATCTTAGCCAAACTTGTCGGCCAAAACCATCTGCTGCTTAGCCAGCTTGTGTGAATGGAATCGTGGTTTTGCAAAGAGTCATGGAGATTGTGACCTTCCCAAAAGGGGCTTTATTTGAGCGAGTTTATTTATATCTGTTGAAGGAAAAATCTTCATCAGGGTCCAGTCCAAGCCGGGAATAAACAACATGGCGACTGCTTTAGAAAGAAGGTTGTAGTTTATTGAAGAGGAGAGCCAGACAGAAAAGATGGCTCTGGAAAAAAAAGAGAGAGCACATGTAGTAGGGAGTGGGTTTTTATACCTTTTGGGGCTTTTGTTTGGAGTTGTTCCTGTGTCGTGAACTTTGACCTGAGTCTGAGTGTGCCTTTCTGGTATTCTGATGGTGGTGGGTTAATCCTATTATGTCCTGTCTTAGTGGGGTATGTAGATTTTAAGGGTCTTTGTTTTCCTGATCTCTTCAGCTTCTAGCTGGAGGGCTCCAACCTTCCTGAATGGATTATTACATCTGCATTTCTACAGAGCTGGTTTCTGCTGAGTTGTCTGGCTGGTGTGTGTGTGTGTGTGTGTGTGTATAGAAGTTTCTGCCTTTTTAAAGATCTTCTCCATTATTCCTTTGGGGAAATATATTCTGCCTTTCTAATATTCCCAAAATATTTCTTTCTCTGGGTTGTTCCCACATATCTACATCATCTATTCCAATAAAAGAGACAGTCTGTAGCTGGGTGATGAACGGTGGAGTCTTTTGGTGACCTCTGAGCTTAACTGTTGGCTTACAGACGCTTCATTACCTTACTAGGTAACATCAGTGCGAGCGAGTGTGGGGTTTGCTATCATGAAATAACTGAACAACTCCATAGGTGTACAGGTACTCCTCAACTTACAACAGTTCATTTAGTGACCGTTCAAACTCACAACGGCACTAAAAAAAAATGACTCCTGACCATTTTTCACTCTTACAACCTTTGCAGCGTCCCCACGGTTGTGTGATCAAAATTCAGGCGCTTGGCAACTGGTTCATCTTTATGACGGTCGCTGTGTCCCAAGGTCACATGATCCCCTTTTTTGCGACCTTTTGACAAGCAAAATCAATGGGGAAGCCAGATTCACTTAACAGCGTTGTTACTAAGTTATCAACTGCAGTGTTTCACTTAACTACCGGGACAAGAAAGGTTGCAAAATGGGGTACAACTCACTTAGCAAATGTCTCACTTAACAAATAGAAAATTTGGGTTCAATTGTGGTCGTAAGCCGAGGATTACCTATATACAATAGTGGCCTCTCGTTGATAAATCCATGGTTAACCAGAATAAGACTACCAGAAGTGGGTAGCAACAATCCGTTGACCACTAGGTGGTCCTACTGACATTGTATAAAGCAGGGGTCCTCAACCTTGGCAACTTTAAGACTTGTGGACTCCAACTCCTGTCTACATTTTTCCATTTTCTTAAAGGCAGGCACTGGAAACTGAATGGCATTAGTAATATTTGCTTTAATTCGCATATATACAAGTTGAGCAAAGCTAGAGACACAGATTGAACATTCCAACAGGGAACAAAATCTGTTTTTTTTACATCAGACGCCTAATAAATCATCCTGCATAGTAAAATTCTCCCAAGCTCAGTTGTCTATATTTGGATTCACATTAATATATTAACACCATTTTTTATTTCTTCCTTGGGCTACCATATGCTGGGAACTCGATCCATTATGATTTGAAAATTATGGTTTAGAACAATGTGTTAACCCAGCCTATTCAATAAATCATAACTAAATCATAGCTAAGCATAACATGGAAATTACATTGCTAGCCAATAGCATAATGTACAAACAACCTTAGCTCAGTGTTTTTAAACTTCTTAGATCCAAAGACAAACCAATCTATCAAAGAATGAGCGTCCCCAGAAAATAGGAATAAAATTTTCAGCTTTTCCAAGAAGAAGAGAGAAATACCAGATCTGTTACACTGTGGTGCTGCATGTGCCAATTATAACAAGTTTTAAAGGCATTAAAAATTGCAATCATACTACAAGCAATACTTCTCTAAGCTGGAATAGATGCACTGTCTGCCCTTAAATCCTAACTTAACTATCTCCCCCATTATGTAACCAAATGAGAAGTTAAAAGCTAACTACTGCAAAATATTAAATTTAGTTCTTAAACCCAAACATCCCTGAATTGGGTGGTTCTTTGTTCAAAGGATCCATCTGGAGGCTGTAGTTTCTCTTTTCTCTCATCTTTGGAAAGGAATCATTTGTCAACTAGATTACTTCTGTAGATCACCAATTATACATGGACTTCTGAATGAGAAACAGTAGACAACTTAGTTAAGTGCTGGAAGAAGGGATTCTTTCAATCATGTTCTTTTTCTAGTTGATAATTACTGCTTTCAAATTGTTGGCATCTGGTTTTACATTCAAATTTTAAAAAATATACCCCATAACATCACTGTTATAAAATACAGACCATTATGGGGTCCTTGGTGCTCTCTGAGCTTGGTGGTTTTCTTGCAGATGTTTCATTATTAAGCTAGGTAACTTCATGCTAGCACTGATGATGTTACCTAGCTTGGTAAATGAAACATCTGCAAGAAAGCCACCAAGCTCAGAGAGCACCAAGGACCCCACAGTGCAATCCTGAGCTACAAATATTCTTTTACATCAGTATCCAGACCGCTGCTTTTCAAGTACAATGAATGAAGATGATGGACGAGGAGATCGTTGGTAGAAAGTGGGGCCCATGCCAAACAACTCAAAAGTGTTTGCTTGTGTCTTCTTTGTGGTGTATCTAATGGATGCTATTCTACTGGTTACTTAAGAGATAATGGCTCAGTTAATGGGAAGGAAAGTTCTAGCCAACGATCAGACTCTGATCAGTAAGAGAAGATTAATTTGTACATTTGTCAATAAGGTCATTCTACTCTGATGGATGGAAAATGAAGAATTAGATTTTCCATTACTGACATGAAAAAGCTCTAAGCAAATATTTAGCGAGGCACCTGGAAATAACAGATCCACTTATGGACAATTTGTAGGAGAGGGTTTAAAATGGATGTTTCTTTTGCATGGCCAAATTGTAGTCCATGAGGACTCCTCTACTCCCTGATGGTTGCTAATATTTATTGTAAGCTGAGGTGACACATTGCACTAAGTCAGACTTTTTTTATAGCTACTATTTATTGATTGCATCACAATTGATTGGATTTCCATAACACAGTGAGCCAAAAACAAACTAATCCCAAGATGATCAATCATAACCTGCCCAGGTTAATCAAGTGTTGTGGTCTACAAGTTGAGAATTATGGTCTGCTTCTCTCCTTTGGATCTGAAAGCAAAGTTTGGTTTGTACTCATGGCAGATGACTCATGCCACATTTGGCTGTGGTAGTTAAACTAACTCATGGCCCTATATACAGTAGATACTACAATATTTTATATCCAAAAGATTAAGGTCAACCTTGGCCTGATCTCAAACAGCAGAGTTAGACCTAGTTGGGATTTGGAGAGGAGAACTCAGAGTTGTAGGCTGGCCTGGGAATTTAAAGTAAAAAAGATGTTGAGACTCTAGAAAGTGCAGAGAAGAGAGTGCAGAGAAGAGTAACAAAGATGATTAGGGGACTGGAGGCTAAAACATATAAGGAACGGTTGCTGGAATTGGGTATGTCTAATTTAACGAAGAGAAGGACGAGGGGGGACATGATAGCAGCCTTCCAATATCTCAGGGGCTGCCACAAAGAAGAGGGAGTCAAGCTATTCTCCAAAGCGCCTGAAGGCAGGACAAGAAGAAC